TATGACTGTGGTCTCTATGGAAACTACAATACAAATTCTTATTTCTCTCGTTCGGATTTCCCTTTAGGCGAGGTGGCCACTTAATGTATGGGGCATCCTTGATTGTCCTTAAGATCTCGGTCCGCCTCGCGTTTAATGGCGTGTAATCCATCCGAACTGCTAGGGGAGCCCGGAACGACTGGTTCGGCTTCGGCTCTCAGGCCGGGTTTTTTCTGTCGACTGGGTTGGAGGGCTCGCCTTCCCTCTTTCTTTTCTCATTCCCGCTTTCGGTTCGTTGGTTAATTTCTTCCTCTGTCCTCATGAACTTGTCCGCGAGCTTGAGGAATTCGGCCACGGTTGTAGGCTGGTTAGCTACCATGTGCCACTTGAACTCTTTGTGCGTTACTCCTCTCTTGGCCGCTGCGAGTTGCACCGCGGGGTCTAACCGCGGTATCTATAAGCATGCTTCATTGAATCGCTTGATGTAGCCCCGGATGGATTCTCCTTCCCTCTGGACTACTCCGAAGATGCTTTCCTCTGTTTTGGGGCACCGTTTGCTGGTGACAAAGTGTGCGGTGAAGACCTGCACGAACTGGGCCCAGCATTTTATCGACCCGGGGGCCAGGTTCCTATACCAAGTGCGGGCTACCCCCTGAAGGTGGTGGTGAAGGCCACGCACATGCACGATTCACTGGCCCTGGCAAGGTGCATTTGGGACTGGAAAGCGTCAACGTGGTCATTGGGGTCGAAGGACCCATCATACTTGTCCAAAGGTGGGAACTTGAAATCCCTGGGCAAGGGGACCGCCAGGAGTTTTGATGCGAGGGGGGAAGAAACTGAGAGAATCGGAGCAGCTCCTACCTCGTCCGAGCTCGTCTCTTCCTTGCCTCTGAGCTCTGACAGGACACGGGTGGCAGTTCGGCGACTTCACCGGCGCCTTTGTTGTTGAGTGGGCCTGGTACTAGCACTGCTGGCCTCTGTGTTGCTGAGCTCGATGGGCCCGGAATGCTGGTAGTCTGCTGCCAGGGCGCCAAATCGGTTTTCCGTGAGCGGGAACTCGGGCCTGGAGCGCCGAGGTGCCGATCTTGCGGGCGAGGTTCCTGACCCGCCTGCGAGCTACGAGGCGGGGATGATTTTTCTCTCTCTTCGGCCTGGGGACGAGGCCTGGCTGTTAGGGGGGTTCTGGGGCCGGGAGGCCTTTCCGTGGTGGGGGCGTCCATCCTGTGGGGAAGCCTTAACCGGCCTCGGAGTAGGGTGCCGAGGTGGAAGTGGTGGTTGGTTCAGCGGTAGTTAGGGGAACTGCTGTTGATAGTGATACTTGGAGATAGTGTGCAGTACTTGGTGCTGATGAAGCTGGTGTTGCTGGAACTGTTGCATTTGGGCTTGCATTGCCCGCATACACTACATCAGGTCGTCCAACCGGTTTTGGCTGGCTGCCAAGGGGACGGCAGTTGGTTCAGTGAAGGTTGTCTCAATAGGGGGAGGAAAGGGGATGCTCATGGTAGGAAGGTTTACGGGCGTCACTGCTTGTGGCGCATTCAAGCTGGGGATCCCATCCACCAAGAGGGGGATGGTGAACTGTCCAACGCACACCACGGGGACTTGAAGTTGTTCCCTGGTGGTGTTTGTATCCATGCTACGTCAGGCGTTGCTGGAAGAAGCCATGAGTGTTGGGTTTTTTTTGAAGGAAAGAGGTTATGAGAGTTTGGAGGGAGGCTTTTTGAAGCGTTCCCACAAACGGCGCCAATTGATGATGCGCAATCTGGCCGGTCTTAGCTGTCAATGACCTTGCCTCTGAACTGAGCAGCAGGGAACTTGAAACGGAGAAGATGAGGAAGCTCCGGGAGGAACCCGATGTAAAGGCTCCGAAGCTCAAGTTAGAATCCTTCAAAGGCGAGATAAAACCAGATAGCGCAAAGTTTGCATACCTGTCATTGGGGGGTAGGGAGTCTTTTATAACCACCTCGTGCACTCACTCCTAGGCTCCTGTCAGGTCGGGTATGATTACTTCCGTGCTTCTGCCAGTTCAGGTGTCATCACCTCTGCTAGGGCAGAACCGCCACTGCTCTTTTTGTCGGAGTCGTCTCTGTAACTAGAGATGGCGGTGGCAGGTGACGGCGGCAGGTGGCCGTTGAAGTGTGGCTGTCAAGTATCAGATCCCAAGTCAGTCAGGTGCGCCGCCCCTGGATACGGACTCCTTCGGTGTCAGGTACGGTGTGGTTTGTCTAGTTCGGTGTTCTGGAGGCAAAGTGCTAGAGCGGTGTGCGAGGCGAAGTCTTGAGTTCGGATAGGGGAGTGTCCCGAACTGCCATGAGGCGGGCCAGTTCGGGTTACTGCTTTGTGTGGCTCGGGGTCAAAGGGAGAGTTCAGGCTCCTCGTAGGGAGTTCGAGCTCTTAGAAGGGAGTTCGAGCTCTTAGTAGGGAGGTCGGGCTCCTCGTAGGGAGTTCGGGCTCCTCAAAGGGAGTTCGGTCTCCTCGAGGGGAGTTTGGACTGCTGGTTTCTTCCCTTTGGTGTTTGCACCCTAGGTACATTCCTTTAAGTGCCGAGCTACTTGTTTTTTGCCACATGGCGTGATTGCGAGGTCGGGCCAAATCTTCCTTCATCACTAACCTTTTGGGGATATTTTTGGAAAACAAAAGTGAGCATTATTATTATTAATGAGAACATTAAGTCTAAAGATAAAATGATCATGTACTTAACATGATGTTAAGTACATTAAGTCTAAATATTAAATGAGAACCAAACGATCATGCCTATTGAAGAATCAAGAGATAAGAGATAAGAGGCTCTAAGTAGGTTGAGAGTTCTTTAATGGCTAAATAGTTTGTTGAATTGATTATTATGAATGTTTTTAAGTACTTTATCATGTAACTATTGTATCCTGATAAAGACAAAAGAATGAGTCATTCAGATCAACCACTCCAACTGTTATCAAACAGCCCCTTAGTGTACTCATTGGTTGCTTTTTGGATAAAAATGAAAGACATCCCATCATCTTAATTTGCAATGTACTACATGCTCACAATTGTCGACCAAATGCCCAACAGAATGTTGTAGCTTGAAACACTCTCATCACTGGTTTGGAGTCACCTTAGAGCCAAAATGTCATGTAGGCATAAAGATCCCCTTGCTTTCTCCAAATCAATGATTAACTTCCCTATATCTATTGTGATCTTGTTAGTGCAATTTAGCCAAGATAATAATTTCTTGAGCATTACCTCTATGTCCTTAGTGGAATCAAAATGGTTTGGTGGATTCAATTATTATATCAACTTCTCATGTTTTCTCTTTTCATTTCAAGTTGGACATGTCTTTTCACGGGTCCTGCCCCGGCATGTAGGGTAAGCAAAACAAAGAGTTGCAAAAATTGGAGAGACCCACCAAAGATAGTGACTGGACTGGGTATAATAAGGTATCCTTACCAGAATTAGGTAAATGATGGTCCACAAGTAGGATGATCTAGCTTCCATAGCAACACCCTTGGGCTGTGTTTGGTTTGAAAGAAAAGGTAGGGAACGGAAACCTATGAGCAAACCAGCCTTTAAAGTAAACTTCTATAGACTTTAGCAAATTCCCCCACCCCTGAAAAGAAAAATTAAAAAAATAAATAAATAACTATAATACTTATAGTTTGGTTTGAAAGAAAAGGTAGGGAAACCCATAGCAAACCAGCCTTTAAAGTAAACTTCTATAGACTATAGCAAATTCCCCTACCCCTGAAAGGAAAAGATTAAAAAAGAAAAAACTATAATACTTATCAATGAAAGAGCCTAAACAAATGTTTCGGGATTTAAATAAAGATCTTTATGTAGCAAAATTGAAAGTTTGAACTCCAACCACTGGCCTGATGAATCTGTACAGCTTCAGGATTTGTGGTTGGACTGTTCATTCTCACATAAAGATGTTCAATAATCTCAATGTAGAATAGTGACAACTGACAACAATGTGGTTACATAATCTAAGTAACTTGGATTTTGATCAACTTCCGGCATCCACAATAAATAGTTGGAAGTTGTTTGATTTTCTTTTCTTTTTTGATTTTCTTATAGAATAAATATCACCAATAATCCCCACAAGAACATTGACCATCTTTAAAATGGTGAAATCGGTTTGAATCTCTGACTACAATCTCTCGATTGACAATCTTGGATATTAACTTAATCGCAGTATGACAATCACCACAGACTCTAAGGTTCTTGATGACCTGGATTGTCATTCCAGGGACTGTATTCATGATGCCAAAGGCAACAGCCAGCTTCTCGCTGTGAATTCGCAGGATCGATTCCTTCTCTTCTTGATCAACATCATGAAGAACTGATGTTGTATCTGGTATGTAGCCAACTTCCTGCATCTTCACAGATAATTTTTCTAGATAATCATAAATCTCATCATGCTGGGGATGCTCCCGATCACCAACTAGGAATACATGAACTCTACCCTTCACTTCTACTAAACTGAATCCAGGTGGTTTAATCAGGCCTCGATCCTTCATGAAAACTCGCATCCTCTCCACATCTTCCCACCTTCCAGCATCAGCATATATGTTGGAAAGTAAGACATAGTATCCACAATTACTGGGGTCTAATTCAAACAATTTTCTTGCAGAGACTTCTCCGAGCTCCACATTTTTGTGAATCCTACATGCACCAAGAAGTGCACCCCAAACAACAAAGTCAGGCCTCATCTTCATTCCCTTGATCAAGTTATAGGCCTGATCAAGATAACCAGCTCGACCAAGAAGATCAACCATGCAAGCATAATGCTCAACCCCAGGTTCTATTTCAAACTCTTGGGTCATGGCTTTAAACCAATGCCATCCTTCTTCCACCAAACCACCATGACTGCAAGCAGCTAAGACCGACACAAAGGTTATGTAATTTGGCTTCACCCCAGCATTTTGCATCTCATAAAAGACTTCAAGTGCTTCTTTGGCACGGCCGTGCATGCCATAACCAGCCACCATGGCAGTCCATGACTTAACATTCTTCTCCTTCATGCGTTCAAATGCTCTCCTTGCCATCTCTACTCTCCCACATTTACAGTACATGTCAATAACTGAGGTACCAACAAACACATCATCCTCAAGACCCATTTTAATCACCTGTGAAAAAACAAGTTCATGAAGATTAGACCATTTAACATGTAAGGGAAATATTCAATGCAAAAATCTCAAAAGGGAGGAACAAGGCTTAGGACCAGCATTTGAAAGGTTGTTTCAGGTGTTGGTCCACAATAGCACAAAATTTCCCTTAAAAGGGACAAAACCCCAGGACCAGATACCTGATCATGTATACACTTCCCCAGCTGCAAAGCACCCGAATGGGCACAGCCCAACAACACCGAAGACAAAGTCACTGCATTGTAGGAGACATCTCTAGACTTCAACATCTCATAGAAGATCTCCAATGCTTCTGTCGATAATCCATTCTGGGCATAAACAGCAATCATTGAATTCCAGGAAATCACGTCTTTGTTTTTCATCCCGTCAAACACCTTCCTAGAGATACCCAAATCACCACATTTTGCATATGCATCCAGCAAAGTATTCCCGACACCCAGGTCCTCCTGAAATCCTCTTTTTATTAAAAACCCGTGGACGCCTTTTGTCACACCCTTCTCCGAAACTTGAGAGCAAGCAGATAGAACGGAAACCAGCGCTACAGCATCCACCGAAACCTCTCTTTCCCCCCTACCGTCACTCTCCTCCATCAAAAACTCCTTAAAAAGAAATAAAGCTTCATGGGCATTACCATTCTGGACGCACCCGGTAATCATTGATGTCCAAGAGACTACATTTCTGTGAGGAATTTCGTCGAACAGTTTCCTAGCACTGACCAACTCCCCACATTTCGAATACATATCAATAAGAGCGGAGGAGACAAACAGGTCGAACTCAAAACCAAATACCAAAGCTTGTTGGTGGACTTGCTTACCAGAAGCAAGATCGAGGAGGGCTGAGCAGGACTTAATGGCGCAGGGAAAGGTGGAACGATCAGGGTTGAGAGAGATCTTTCGCATGGACAAGAAAGCTCGAAGGGCTTCGACTGAGTCGCCACTCCGGGCCAGCTCGGCGATGACGGAGTTCCAGGACGAGACGCTGGTTCTGTCCACATACTTGTTGAACAAAGTTGTGAGGTTTGGATTGGTGGAGAAGTATTGTTTCAAGAATGAAGATGAAGATGGAATTATTCCAATAGAATTCAGAGTTGAAAGCTTGCTTCTTTTGAAAACTTCATTCATTCTATTTCTACAGGAAGCTTTGCTTTCAATTTCATGGGCAGCAGCAGCAGCTATCTGTTCCCTCCTCGCGGCCAACGGCAAAATGCTCCCATTCAAGAGTATTTTTGTCAATACATCTGGAAAAGGACAAAAGGTTTTATTACTAAAATGCCCCTGATGCATTGTTATTTTGCCTAAGAATCATCAGGTTTTAAAACCTGATCAGACCGGGCGATTGGCCTGGACCAACCGGAAATGGCCCCATGCACGAGAGATCGGATTCGGATCTGCTTCCAAATCCCAACAAGACAAGCTGTTACAGCCACGTGGCTGCGTTTGTTTGCAATACAAACGTCAAACCAGGGTATTTATGAATCCCTGACTTGGATTTGTAAGTGTTTATTTGTCATAAAAGTAAAAAAATTAAGAGGGAAAATTGTTTTTTCTGACATTTTCATATTGTGAAGAGAGTATTACTGTATCCAAACTTGTACTCTTTAGATCTTGATTTTTGTAGGCTTACTGGGTTTACAACCATGAACCATTTTGCATTCATGAAGAAAATCTATTTATGTAGAATATATATTTGTGTTTTTATCCAAACAAACGCAGCCTTGAAAGCATCTCACTGATCTGCTCTCAAGTCTGAACAAGTCATTACAGCCGTACATTGAGAACATCTCCCTTGTCATTCATGTAAGTTGCTCCCAATGTGCGGCTATAAACACTTGTTGGAACTGTTTGTTGGGAGCAGATCTGAACTCTCTCCCAACCAACACTGCCCAGCCGAGGGTAGGACTAATCTGCGGTTTCAATTGGCCAAGCCCAGCCCAACCTTATTTTTAGGGCCGAAGTCAACTTTGGCCTCATACATGATAGAAGTAAGCCCAGGCAAAATCAGATTCAATCGTGATAAAACTGTGTTCACACAGTCTTTACAGTCATTTGCAGCTGTGCATTAGGAATATCTCCTCAGAAATAAAAACATACAAATACGAAAATATTCATAATACACGATTAAAAGTGGCTGTAAATACAGTCTGAACACAGTCTTATGAGGACTGAATCCAATCTCAGCCTTTCATCAAAAAATCCAATCTCAGCCCAGGCATCGAGATCGGCTTCAGTGCTCACACTGTTCACACAGCCTTTACAGCCTTGCAATTAGAATGTCTTCATATTTATATGCTTTTTTTAATGGGGAGATATTCCCAATGCAAGACCGTAAAAAGGCTGTGCGAATGGTGTGAGCATGGTGTTGTGAGCACTGAAGCCAATTTCCCAGGCACCATGCCGTGGCCCAGTCAGATCCAAGGATAAAAGTTTCCTATACTATATCTTTTATTGGTTGTTATTTTCCATAATTAATATTGGCTGTTGGAAGTTTTTATATTGCCATGTGGCAAGTGTTTTGGCTTAAATTTTGCCTCATTAATAAGAAATAAATCATAAAAAAATTTGTAGGGCCAGCCATTGTAAGTTATATATCAATTTGCCGATTTCAGATATGCTCCTCACAGAGCACGCTTCACACCAAACTCACAGCACGTTTCAGTCATGCATATGGAACATCTCTGTGCTTGTAAGTTTTTAATCATAGAGAGATGTTCCAGATGCACAGCTGAAACATGCTGTGAGGCGTACTCTGTGAGAAGTAGATCCAAACTCCAATTTGCCCTTGTGCAAATTTCCTTAGCCATTCTTTTTTTCCTCTTTTAATAGAAATCACAATGAAGAAATTAGGGTCTGTTTGGTTTATAGTTGGAATTGGAATCAATATTCCTTAGGCTTAGTTTTGGAAGAGTATAAATACAAATATGTATAGTACAAATACGTACAAAATAATACAAAATGTAAGGTTTGGCACTATTTCCGATAGCCTGTTTGGTTCAGACAAATTGGAATAAGAATTGAAATAATCTGGAATGAGATTTCATTCTCAAGAGAGAGGGAGGGAATGACCATACCCTCAAACAGGGGAATGCCATTCCAGCATGAATGGAAATGAGATTACAATTCCGTCCAACCAAACAGTTGGACCATTCCAATTCTGATTCAAGGATCCTATTCCCGTGAACCAAGCGGGCCCTTAGGGTTCTCTATCCTAAAAAAAAACAACCATAGAATTGATTTATTGAAACCCATTTTCAAATAGAACCAAACCAAACCGGCTGGATCTGTACGTATCCTGAAAATAATTTGGTTGGGATCAGTTTTGGTTGTTCCAATGCTTCTTTTCTCATCATACACATTTATAACAGCTGAAGTGGCCGACTGAATGGCTTATTACATGGTCTTTTTAGAAAGAAGTTATATAGGAGGTTGTGAGCTCCTTGATGTCTAACAGACTAAGGCCATGTTTGGGAGTGCTTATGTTAAAAATAAGCACTTAAAAACACCTAATATAAAATAAGTGCTGGAACAAGTCCTTATTCTAATAAGCACTTATTTGCATTTGGCACCCAACTTTTGTCCTTTATTTTCTTTCAAATTTTCAAAATATCCAATCCAAAGTGAATGAATAAAAGTACTTTGATAGAAATGTTTTTATAAAAGTACTTTTACAAAAGTGCTTTCATAAAAGTATTTTGATAAAAGCACTTCCGTAAAATACTTTTATAAAAGTGCTTTTATAAAACCACTTCCGTAAAAGTGCTTTTATAAAATCACTTCCGTAAAAGTGTTTTCATAAATGTGCTTCTGTAAAAGTACTTTTATAAAAGTTATTTCATAAAAATGCTTTCATAAAAGTACTTTCATAAGAGTGCTTTTGTAAAAATACTTTACTTTTGTAAAAATAACTTTCATAAAATAACTTTTATAAAAGTGCCTTTGTAAAATTGTTTTTGTAAAAGGGTTATAATTGGTATTATAAAAATTAAATAGGGACAATTATAGGAGAAAAAATTGAATAAGTGCATATTGTATGAGAACTTCAAAAAAAAAAAAAAAAAACTGGAAATTTGAACTTAAAAAATAAGCCCTTAATTTTAAAATAAACACTTATTTCCAATAAGCACTTATTTTTAAACACTCCCAAACATGGCCTAACACTGAAGGTGGTTTGATTAATTTACACTATTATTTGTTATTTAATTATTAATTATTCTATCCACCAAAAGGCAAAATAATGAAGTCGTTCAGTTCAGCTATTTCAGCAATTATCAGAGGCCCCTAATGTATAATAAGACAGAATCACTTAAAACCTCCGTGCTTTCTAATAAATAATTAAACATGTTACATATTTTGATTTCTACAAAAACCTCCCTTCGCGTTTCAAATAAGTATATGCCAATATATCCTTTCCATTAATTGTCTTGAAAGAAGACATTGACTTACTGTTTTAAAGTTTTCAAAATCCCATTCTTGCCCATGAAAAGCTTCTTCACCATGAGATTAACTATTCCCTAATGTTTGATTATTGTCTAAGTCTACCTCATTGTTTCTAATAATTGACTAGTTCTACCCTTACCGTTAGCCTCTATTAATATTTTTTCAAAATCCTACACGTGACCATGTGGCGTTTAAAAAAACCCAATATTGCCCTCGCCCCCTTCCTCTTGACCGGCACCCCTTCTTCCTCTGACCTCTCTCTCTCTCTCTCTTTCCTTTATCTTCCTCCAACCGTCTCCATCACTTAAGCAATAGTTACTTCTTTTGAGGGGTGTTGGCAGTGGCACTGGAATGTTGAGACTACCAACAGAGCTGCTTTTCTCAGTGCCAAGTCGAGGCTTGTATAGCTTCTATTAAGCTTAGCAATGCTGATTCCTTTGATTCCCGACTCCTCATCGATCGATCCCATAGTGATGTTATTGATGCTTCTTTAAATCTCCAAACCCCGTAAGCCCTTCAAAAACCCTACTCGAACGATTCTTCCCAGAT